CAAGGGGAATTGCAGGAGCCACACATTCCAACAAAAGCAGTGCTCATGCTGAGATGTCTCCCTAAGTTCTTCCAGCAAAATTTGAAGTAAAAGAAGTTCAGCCCCATTCCCTAACCTGGAACTTCAAGACAGACCTCAGATAAATCCTCTAAAGGGTTTCAAGAAAGATGAGAGTCCATTTCCCTCTCTCACAGGAGTGATTGAAGCCTAGTTTCTCCTTGCTGGGACCCTAGCGTACACAGTGCTAACTCTTTAGAGAGCAAAACGGAAGGGTGTTTCTGACTTTTCGACCTCAAATATACACAGTTCTCTTTCTCATTGAAAAATCAAAGTTCTTGACACAGTAGCTCACGAAGGTAAAAAGAAAACAAACAAACAAACAAACAAACAAACAAGTGGCCATCTTCTAAGGGTCCACTCTAGTCTGAATTCCAGTACACGTAAATTTAAACCACAGTACCTTTAGGAAAGTTGTCCGTCACAAATATGTTTAATGTGTATTTTTTTTAATGTATAAATGTGTATTTTTCTTGGAAAATATATAAACACAATTGGCATTCTTCAAAAACAGATAAATAAAAATAATCTAAACTGGACATTAGTTAGGAAAATGGGCCAGTTAGGCATCTGCTCAAAGAAATGACTAGTTACCAACTCTTTTTGACAATAAAGAGTGTGTGCAGGATGATTAAATCATCATTCTCCAAATGAAGGGGGAAAAAATCTGAGAATGCCATTTAAAAAAAATAAATGCTGTAGGTTCTTTAAACTATAAAAGAACATGGAAGAAAAATAAGAAGCGCAACCAACGCGGTAGCCCAGCAGCTGTACTATTTATTTATTTATTTATTTATTTATTTATTTATTATTTATTATTTTATTTTTATTTTATTTATTTTTTTAGCCATACTATTTAAATACAAATTCAAGTGAATTAAAATTAAACATAATTTAAAATTTGGTTCCTCAGTTGTCTCCGCTACATTTCAAGTGCTCAACAGCCAAACGTGACTAGTGGACTACAGCAGGGCAAGGGCATTTACATCATTGGTTAAAATTCAACTGAAGAGCACTGCTCTAGAGCTATTTTTGTAACTTTTCCCCACTAAAATGACATTGATACTTGCATAGTTTCCTGTCCCTGCTATACAAATTACCCCAAACTTGGTGGCTTAAAACAACAGCTCTGTTCTCTCATTGTTTTGGAGGCCAGAAGTCCCAAATTAGTTTCACTGTGTTCAAATCAATGTGTCAGCAGGAACTCAGTTCCTCTGGAGGCTCCAGGGAGAATCTGCCCTTCTCCTCTTCCAGCTTTTGGTGGCTGTTGACATTCCTTGACTTATAAACATATCACTATTTCTGTTCCACAGTCACAGAGCTCGCATTTTCCTGCCTGTGAAGTCTCTCTGTGCCCACCTCTCAGAGAAATAGAACCCACTGTAATTAGAACGCCCTTGGAAAATTCGGGATCATCTCCCAAGGTCACGATCATTAACTTAATCCTATCTGCAAATACTCTGCCTAATTAAGTAACACGTACAGTTCCAGGGCCCATTATCCAACTTACTACAACCAACCACAGTGGTATTTTTCAACTTCCATTGTACTCCATTTTATTTTATTTATTTTTTATTTTTTTTCCATTTTATTTTATATTGCCAACTCTTCATTTACTCCACTGGCACCTACTGGTATAATGTTAATAACCTTTTCTTAAAGTGTAAGATTCCCTCCCACCACCACCCAGAGAGGCTTCTACACTAGAAAAGCCTAGCTTCCTATTTAGCTTCATATCTTCATATATATATATATATATATATATATTTTTTTTTTTTTTTTTTTTTTTTTTTTTTTTCCCCATTCCATCTTGTGATTGCCAAAGCCCGGGCTAAATGGAGAAGGCCTCAATAGCACTAGTTCACAAGGTAACAAATCCACTTGCAATGACTGTTGACTGCGCTGTCCTGTGTTAAGCCATACCTGACTCATCCCACACAATTGGCCTTTGGGCAAGCTGCATCTGCCCTTATATTGAAATCTAAAGTAACTCCATTGGGGCAGCCCAGGGGGCTCAGTGGTTTAGCACCGCCTTCAGCCCAGGGCCTGACCCTGGAGAGCTGGGATCGAGTCTCATGTCGGACTCCCTGCATGGAGCCTGCTTCTCCCTTTGCCTGTGTCTCTGCCTCTTTCTCTCTGTCTCTCATGCATAAATAAATAAAATCTTTAAAAAAAATAACTCCATCGGTAGTGTTGGCTTTAAAATTATTATTTTTAAAGAAAGCCATCTCAAAAGTAAGACAACATGTCTGGATATTGTAACAAGAATAAAAGAGAGAGAGAGAATTGTCTATAAAAACTACTCAAAAACAATTAGAAAATATATAAATAAAAGACAACCCAGTTAAAAAACAAAAACAGGGAAGGGTCTTCAACAAACACTTCAAAAAAAAAAGAGGGTATGTAAATGAACAAGAATAACCTCTGTAAAAATCAGGAAATCATTCACTAAAACTAAAATGAGATAATGAACACCTACCAGAATGGCTAAAACCTTCAAATCAATATTAAGTGCCTAAATTTGTGAAGCAGCAGGAATTCCAGCTGTGGAAGTCTAAGTTGATACAACCACTTTGGAAAAAATTTTATCATCATTGACAAAAGTTAAACATACGTATATCCTAGCTTAGTATTACCCTACTCTAAGCCAACAGCCCCAAAGAATGTTTATAGCACTTCTACTAAAATAACCAAACACTGGAACAATTCAAATGTTCATTAATATAAAATAATTGTAGACTATTCATACAGTAGAATAAGAGTGTCAATGAAAATAATCAAGTACCTTCAACAACAGTGTGAATAAGTCTTACAATTATTAGTTTGAAGAGAAGAGGTCAGATGGGAAAAATATATATTTTAGGATTCCATTTTTACAAAACAAAAAAATGTAAAACTAATCTATGAGGATAAAAATCAGGTTTATTTTTACCTTTAAAAAAAGCAGTAGTAACTGGGAGGGGTCCTGATGGGTGCTTCTAAGGTGTCAAGAATCCAAGGTAGATTCTTTTATTGACTTAAGTGATGCTCACATTGTTTTTCATTTTGTTGGAATTAAGGAGTAGGAAAGTAGAACAATAGTTGTGAGCTCTGGCGTTGTACCAGACTCACTGGTTTTTGTTTTCGGTTCTATCACTCAGGCAATGTGTCTCTGGGTGAATTTTTAACTTTCACTATTTTTACCCTAATAAATATTACTATATTAATTGTCCCACCTTGTCTCCCATTAGCATCTTTTCCTTATTCATTGTGGTATTACTAACATTCAGCATATTTCATGACACATAAAAAGTTCTCAGTAAGTAATTATTAATAAAATAAATTACACACATCATGGCTTCCATGAAGAGTATTACAAATTTTTCATTTACTGAAAGCTGAACATGCTCCTTAGAAAATCCATCATGCAGAGAAAAGATACCACATTTTGTCTTGGTCTTTCCAATGTGCTGACAGTTAGAATATGTGTGAATACAGAGTTCTGTATCCATAATGCCCAGACCACATGGCGAGAATCCAAATTTATGTCAAGGCTCATCTTAGGCTTCTCCTAACAGGTTAAATCTTCCTCCTGAAGATCTACATTGTCCCAAAGAACCAAATCTCTATGCCTCTCTATTCATTATCTTTTCTATAATAAACTGATAACCAAATAAAATAAACAACTCTAGAATTTTTAAATGATCCCCATGGCTTCTTTGTAGTAAGTAACCAGTTCAGTCTGTACTGTTGCCCATGAATAAATAAATATGATTTGGTTATCATGACAGCTATTATTTTCACTAATCTCTCTAACTAATTTGTACAGAGATGACAGCTTTAGATATATTTTTATTATAAACTACCAAATGTTTGGTTAATTTTAAAAAGCTTGCCAGTAGGTCATTGGCCATCTTCTGGTTATAGTGAATTATTATTTTTATGGATCTATAGGAAGGATAGGGGATAGACTAATAGCAGACTCCTAGGAGGAGGGAAATATTTTACCAGAGAATTCATGTTCTGAAACCAGTATTTGCAAATCATGTGTTTGCAGACTGAATCTGTACTAATCAGGGCCTCAAAATAGCTCAAACAATCTAATTCTGTGTTGGCACTGCCATCACAGAAGCAAATAAGCAAGGATAAATCTTTGGTAGATGAATCCATCACCAATTTTGGCCTGAAAGATATTCCGCAGATGAAGTTTGAAGAAACTAAGGTCATAGTTAAGAAGACGGAGAAGAAAAGGATAGGCATATAAGAGGGCTGTAAAGAAGAGAGAAAGACAGAAGAGGAGGGGAACACTACTGGTAAAAATTTGTAGTAGCAAGACAGAAGAGCTAAGATCCCCAAAAATCCATATATTAGAGTCATTAGACATATATATATATATATATATATATATATATATATATATAATGCATTTGAGAAATACAAAAAAAAAGAGTTTAAAACATGATTAAAAGAAAAGAATTGCTTTAGGTGACCAAGTCAGTTATTAAAAGGAGCAAATAAAACTCACATACATAAAATATCACTGACATTAAAACTTAGTGGTTAGCTTTAAAATGGTAAAAGATGAAACTGATGAGAATTGGAAGGCAGGTCTCAAGAATGCATTCAAAATCTATCACAAAGAGTCAAAATGATGGATAATACTATAAGTTTCTGCTTTTTAAATATTGCATAAGACTTTGGGCAACCTAACTAATAAGCTTTGTCATTTTAGTCTACTGACCAAAAATCACTTACCAAATACTTCACTTAAGGTATTTTTATATGTGTGTTTGTGTAAAGATGTAAAAATGTATTTATAACATACAAATAAACTTACATATTATCTATATATAACAACAAGGTAGTTTGCTGTCAGAGAAAGCAAGTAATGTTAAATAATCGCAAATAAACAAGTTACTGATTAAATGAAGATGACAAAATCCGCCACAAATTTCAATACTCACAATAAGAACAGCCATAGACTTCAATTCTGAGCCCAATGCGGCCTTCTCCATTCCAGTCCAGAGGTACTATGCGCACGTAGCGGGCAATAACTGGATGCTGTAAATCATGCCGAACCACACTGTCAGAGTTGATGTTTCCAGGAAATGCCTGCAAAAAAAAAAAAAAAAAAAAGGATTTAAAAAATTCAAGAAAAATGTACTTGGGAAACAATCACATTCTCTGTGTGGTAAAATAGAACTAAATTGTCTTATCAATGGCAGTGTTTTATTATTTCTACTATAAATAATTTGAACAAAGCTACTATACTTCCTTTTTTTGAAAGCGAGTCTGGTTTTAAGTGGAAACTAGGCCAAAATTTCTATGGGTCCTTTCAAAGGTGAAAATGCACATAAATTAGAAGAATGAAACACTATTGGGTACCCACTGCAGTATCCAGTAAATATTTAAACTATGAGTTCTAATATTTTGCATTTAAATTACAATTTTTCAGACTCCAACTATATTTCTTGCTTTTTCAAAATCTTCTCTATATTACCTTCCCATGCCATCATAATTTGAATTTTTTTTCAACATCAGTTCAATAAAAAGAACAACCGATTATGTTGTGCAAGTGGCCAGCATTTTCTACCTTTTATTTGCATAAACACATTTACAGAGTTTAGGAGTCAATCAGAAATGTGTCTCTTCTATATTTTTCATTACACAAGATTCTGTCAAAAGAGTGACTTCCCATAAACCTTATTTACATTGATAAGTTTACACTGTTTATGTTTTTTCAGCAGAGAACAAATGGATTTTCTCCGGGCATGGCTATCATTCATTCAGGAAACATTAGTAAAACATCAATTCCATAGTAAGTATCAAGCAAGATAATATGGGGGGCATAAGCTGTCTAAAGCCATAGACACTACACTCAAAATGATCACAATCTAATAATAGGGAAAATGTCAGTAATAAAATTATAATTCAAGGAAGATTGAAAGCAATTGACAATCATAATTTAGAAGATTTAAGGCAAATAAATGAAAATTACATGTTTGTTCCATTTTAAAGCTTTATTAAGATGTTATTTATTTGACAGAGAGAGCACAAACAGGGGGAGCAGCTGATAGAGGGAGAGGGAGAAGCAGGCTCCCCACTGAGCAGGGAGCCTAACATGGGGCTCAAAACCAAGACCCGGGCCCAAGGTAAATACTTAACTGACTGAGTCACTCCCATTTATTGCATTTGAGGATATACTTGCTGTGCCAGGTGATGGTATATAAATATTTATACCACTACTACCAAGTGACTCCTTTGGGCCTCTATCTCTGAGACATTTATAGTCTTTTGAGGCCTGAAAGAAAACAAAACAAAATAGTCTCCTATGTTTCTCCTCTACTCCAAAACTTCACTGACACCAGATGTGTGGGGTTTCCCACACATCAAGAAATGCTCCAATTCTCCATGAACACCAGCTAGAGGTCCTATAATTTAACTCAATTCTGATCACTATCTACTTGAAGATAGAGTCAATCCCACAGGTGAGGGGAGGAGTCCCACAAGACCACCTCACTTCAGATGCCAATCTCAAGTCTAATTTTTCACATCTGCTTCTGACAGACCGGCTATAAATAGGTTCCCATGATCCCCTTCTCAGTTCTGATTATTTGCTAGAAAGGCTCACAGAACTAAGAAAATCAGTTTACTTACTAAATTACTAAAATTACTAATTGCTTTATCGTAAAAGGATACAACTCAGCAATGATCAGAGAGAAGAGATGCACAGAGCAAGATACGTGGGAAGGGCTTAAAAACCTTCTCCAAGGGGTGCCACCCCCCCAGATCACCTACATATTGACCAGTCCAAAATACCTCCAAACACCAACTTCAGAGTTTTATGGAGGTGAAAGCATTAAATCATTGGCCATTGACGATTAAACTCTCCAGAAGTCTGGATGGTTCCATTGCTAACCAGACTCGCTTCTTGTGAGTATCTACAGGCTTTCCAAAAATCACCTCAAGCATAAACTCCACTGTGGTTCAAAGGATTCTATTATAAATAACAATAAAATAAATACCCATTTCACCTTTATTGCACTTATCACTTAAGAAAGTGTAAGGGCTTTAGGAGCTATGTGCCAGGAATGATGGACAAAGACCAAAAAGTATATTTCTTATTATAAGTCACATTAACATAGGCCTAAAATAATATGTGAAAAAAAATGCAAAAGGCAAGGCTGAAAGAAACTACAAAAGTGTACAATATAGGTAGTAATTTCTGTAATATTTGGAGTTCTAGGAAGACTATGCAAACAGAAAAAAAAGAGAGAGACTGTAGCTGGACAGGAGGGCAGAATGATGTTAGGGAGATAGAGGCAAGCAGAGTAGGGCACAGCAAAGAACAGATTATTCCTGGCTCAGAGAAGGAACTCAGGTCTAGGCCTTAAGACACTTGGGACCTAGATGTAGTCATGCTGACATTTTGTTCTGAATGCGTACTCTTCTAGGCCTCAATTATTTTTTTCCATTCCTTCTCCCTATGTCTCTCTCTCTCTCTCTCAAAAAAAAAAAAAAAAAAAAAAAAAGGCTTGGCTGGCTTATTTGCACAATCCGTTTTAGATCTAAAATTGTGCATGCCCTAAAAACATGAATTAAGCATATTCAAAAATAGGTATTAAGAGATATGTCTAATTGGAAGGAAGTGTGCATAGTGGAAAATCATCGTTGTTTTAGCAAGTTCTAATTATGGACAAAATAATCTAGCATGCAGTTTCTGAAAGAAATGATAGAATAAGAGCCACATTTTTAGGAGTTCCTGGGTGGTGGAAGATCATATTGGGGGCAAAAAGACTAGGAACCAGCAATTAAGGATCAATGTCAATGTGGTGGTAAGGGGAAATAAAAAATGCGATTAGTGCCCAACTAGGAGGTCTCCTGTTAATGTGGTTTTAGACCACATGGAGGATATGGAGGAAGGACTTGACAACAGCGGCAAAGCAGAAGTTGCTGAAGATTATCTGGAGGAAGGAGCTGAGGAAAGGAATGGCAGAGGCTCAGAGTACACCAAAGATCCTCCTGACCAAACGCTGCCTTCAGAACATAAGTACAGATGGCGGAGGAGTAGGGTCCCTAAGTCACCCATCCCCACCAACTTACCTAGATAACTTTCAAATCATCCTGAAAACCTATGAATTCAGCCTTAGATTTAAAGAGAAAACAGCTGGAATGCTACAGAGAGAAGACTTTGCACTTCTTTCAAGTACAACTTGTTTTTGGCCACTCTGCACTGAACAAAATGACTAGAAGGAAAAACTCACCACAAAAGAAAGAATCAGTCTTCTCTCCCATAGAGTTACAAAATTTGGACTACAATTCAATGCCAGAAAGCCAATTCAGAAGCACAATTATAAAGCTACTGGTGGCTCTAGAAAAAAAGCATAAAGGATTCAAGAGACTTCATGACTGCAGAATTTAGATCTAATCAGGCTGAAATTAAAAATCAATTAAATGAGATGCAATCCAAACTGGAGGTCCTAACAATGGGGGTTAATAAGTTAGAAGAATGAGTGAGTGACATAGAAGACAAGTTGATGGCAAGGAAGGAAGCTGAGGAAAAAAGAGAAAAACAATTAAAAGATCATGAGGATAGGTTAAGGGAAATAAATGACAGCCTCAGAAGGAAAAATCTATGTTTAATTGGGGTTCCAGAGGGCTCCAAAAGAGATGGAGGACCAGAAAGTGTATTTGAACAAATCATAGCTGAGAACTTCCCTAACTTGGGAAGGGAAACAGGCATTCAGATCCAGGAGATAGAGAGATCCCCCTACTAAAATTAATAAAAACCACTCAACACCTCGACATTTAATAGTAAAACTTGCAAATTCCAAAGATAAAGACAAAATCCTTAAAGCAGCAAGAGACAAGAGTTCCTTAACTTTATGGGAAGGAATATTAGGTTAACAGCAGACTTCTCCATAGAGACCTAGCAGGCCAGACAGGGCCGGCAGGATATATTCAGGGTCCTAAATGAGAAGAACCTGCAGCCAAGAATACTTTATCCAGCAAGGCTCTCATTCAGAATAGAAGGAGAGATGAAGAGCTTCCAAGATAGGCAGGAACTGAAAGAATATGTGACCACCAAGCCGGCTCTGCAAGAAATATTAAGGGCAACTCTGTAAGAGGAAGAGGAAGAGGAAGTCTAAGAGAACAACCTACAAAAACAAGGACTGAATAGGTATCATGATGACACTAAATTCATATCTTTCAAAGGTAACTCTGAATGTGAAAATGGGCTTAATGACCCCATCAAAAGATGCAGGGTTTCAGACTGGATAAAAAAGCAGGACCCATCTATTTGCTGTCTACAGGAGACTCATTTTAGACATAAGGACACCCACAGCCTGAAAATAAAAGGTTGGAGAACCATTTACCACTCAAATGGTCCTCAAAAGAAAGCAGGGCTTGCCATCCTTATATCAGATAAATTAAAGTTTATCCTAAAGACTGTAGTAAGAGATGAAGAGGGACACTATATCATACTTAAAGGATCTATCCAACAAGAGGACTTAACAATCATCAAAATTTATGCCCCGAATGTGGGAGCTGCCAAGTATATCAATCAATTAATAACTAAAGTTAAGACATACTTAGATAATAATACACTTATACTGAGAGACTTCAACACGGCACTTCCTGCAAATGACAGATTTTCTAAGCACAACATCTCCAAAGAAACAAGAGCTTTAAATGATACACTGAACCAGATGGATCTCACAGATATTTACAGAACTTTACGTCCAAACACAACTGAATACACATTCTTCTCAAGTGCACATGGAACTTTCTCCAGAATAGACCACATACCGGGTCACTTATTAGGTCTGATACCAAAAGATTGGGATAATACCCTGCATATATTCAGACCATAATGCTTTGAAATTAGAACTAAATCACAAGAAGAAGTTTGAAAGGATTTCAAACACTTGGAGGTTAAGGACCATCCTGCTAAAAGATGAAAGGGTCAACCAGGAAATTAAGGAAGAATAAAAAAGATTCATGGAAACTAATGAGAATGAAGATACAACAGTTCAAAATCTTTGGGATGCAGCAAAAGCAGTCCTGAGGGGGAAATACATCGCACTACAAGCATCCATCCAAAAACTAGA